GGGTTTCATTGGATGGTATTTTTCAGGATTTTTTTTTTTTTTTTTTTTTTTTTTCTTTTACTACTTTCTTGATGCCTCGCTCTTCATGTCTTCGTTCTCACCTTATTTTATATGCCGGCATGGAAATGCAGTATTGCCACCAATAATACTTAAGCAGTGCAGAGAACAGCTATTTAAATACAGTCATCTATAGCAGTGAGATTTTAGTCATATGTATGAGATGAATTTTGATTGACTGCTATGGGTTATTTAACAATGCCAAGTACACCACTCTTTGCTTTTGTTAAAGAAACATTATATTGGTAATTAAAGTGTATAAAAAGTTTAAGAAACCTTCATCTTGAGATAACAATGTAACACTTACCATTTAGCTGCTGTAGTCCTGGAATTTGCTCATCTGACCAGTGCAAAAAGGGTTATTCTCAGAACTCCAAGAATTATCTGCATTGCTCTGATTTTAATGGCATTTCTGCCACAAGAGTGTAGTATTGTTTCTCTAAGGAACTCCTATGGCAGTCAGCAGAACATTTTCTGGCGGACAGCAAGCTGCCGTTTGTAGTCCCGTATAAAGAGTAATAAACCAGTTTTTTGTAGATCAAGATGAAACCTTGAGCAGTCTGATTTTCAAAGAGCAGATACAGTATCTGAAAATATCTGCTGATCTGCCAAACCTGTTCTAATGGGGCAAATAACAACCCTAAGCTATTTTGAGATCAGCCCTTATTCCTGTCATCTAGACAGTAATCAGAAGAATATACAATGGCATTGTTTTCTTTTTTCAAAATCCAAGACTGGGGTTCTTGTAAAGGGAGATTGTGTGTGTATTTACTGTAGAGACTCAAGTGTAGGGTGAAACAAACTCTAATTTATTGAGCAACTGTGCAACCTTTTATACAGCAAGTGATGAGATCAGATTATAATCCCATCACATCCACACTGCCTTCCCCAGACATTCTATCTTCACAACACCACAGGGTTTCCCCTGCTAACGAGCTCTAGACAGCCATAGCAGGAGCCTGGCCAGAATGTCATTTACCCTGGGCTCTTTCAGAGTACAATGGGAGATAACGTGGGCTGGTGCTGACAGTCTTTTCATACACAAGTTACACATCATAACACACTTAACTATAACCCAACACCAATACACATTTAACTCATAAACTCATCACCATGTCGTCACACTGGTATCAGGAGGAAGCCGGGCTGCGTGTAATGACTCACCGCCTAGCTTCCGGATTGGTCGGGAAGCTGGCCGGCGAGTCATCACCCGTCCCCCGACTTTCTGATTGGCCAGAAAGACGGCTTCGTGCTCCCTCATCACCTGGAGACGGCTTCCCTGCTAATCAGGAAGCCAGGTAGCGAGTCATTACACGCCGTCTGGCTTCCTTAATGGGACTTCCGGTATCGTTATTTGGTATTGGAAAGTACCAGGGGAAAAAAAATATCAGTACTCGATAAGGACAAACGTGTGTGTGTTAAATTATATATAAACATTTCTTTTTTTTCTTAAACCCTTGTGCTAAAGACCACAGATCAAAATGTTTGCTTTATAATAAAGACAGGTTAAGTTATAGATATTTCTACACCATTCTCTCATTTTGTTTTTCTGTAATGTCTGCAATAGTTTCACTGGTTTTTGTTTTTTTCTGTTTTTTGTTTTTTCAACAGATCCGAAAAGAAGGCAGAGAGAAATACAGTATAGACCAGTTGTGCGTCCTAGACAATGTCAGAACGAATCTCAGACGTTTCATTTCTTACCAGGAAACTGTAGAGAAAAAACTCTCAAAGGCTAAATGAAAACAGGTTATATTTTCAGGTGAAAAGAGAGTTTGTGGTCTACCAGCTTTTGACACACTTACCTTCAAGACTCCCGCGAAGTGCATTTTGCCCTTTCTTACAATCCATAAAAGCTTAATAAATTATTTTGTTCTTTGACCTAAACAAAATTACACATAAGACACATTGGCTGTCATTTCTATAAAAGGTTGATTTGACATTGTATTTTTGATGAACTGATATATTTGGTTCAAAAGAATGTTTGTAATGGCATAAATATACATTGTGATCATTTCATCACTCAACTTGTAGAAACAGAAACCGAATGAAATCACAACTCATTTTAGTAAAATATAAACCATGTTATACCTTTTTTTAAATGAATTAGGACAATATATTCAAGCAGTTATAATGGTCACTGTCCTCCTATGAAATATTTTACCTTTTCTGTGCAGCCAATCCTTTATCTTTTTGCTGGCGTCTCTTCTCTGCTCTACCTGTGTTGTGTCAAAAGCCACTATGTTTCTAAATGGCAGCAGAAAGCTGACCTGTTGAAGCTAGATCACAGAGGTGTTTAGTGGGGAGAACCCATCAGTCAATTTATAATAATCTGGCCACACATGTGGTTACAGTCTGTACAACCTTCTTAGATTAACCAACAACCATGTAGTGCAAGGGCAAGCGAACTGACTATAAATTAAATGAATTGTTAAGGTAGCCCCTTGCACTAGATCATTATTGGTAAAAGCCTACATGTGTGACCAAAAATGTGTGGTTTAAGTTGAAAATTCTTTTAAATTTTCCATCAATGACTGTAGTTTTGTTTAGTGCATTTTACATTTCAATTTTTTTGTAATATTTTTGTTTTGGGGTTGTTGCAATACAGAATTGTTTAATAATATTGGGGAAAAAAAATAAAGATTTATTTGTCCAGTAATTTATGTTTCAGGATGTTCTATTGCTGAAAAAAGGGACAATTATGCTGTAGTGATGTTTGAAAAAGGTCAACATTGTAGTCTTGTTCCTGTTTAGAAAGAAATTGGGATAAGTGGTATGATTGCGCCAAATTGCTTTTTCAGCAAATGTACCTATTTCTCCTAACGGAATTTTATTTTTAACAAAGCCACGTGATCACAATGCCAGCGCTGACGTTGTGATCACTCGGTTTTGTCAATAACGAAATGGTTCAGACTCTTTTAGTATATCTTTATAAACTTACTTTTTTTAAGGATTCAACATGGATAACAAAGGCACAAATTGGTAATCAGATGAACATGAAAAAAACACATCATAATGAGAAGCAATCAGTAAAATAGTACTTAACAGCTATCAGTGAAATAGCTAGCGTACAGAGATGAAGCTGCCACAACAACGTAATATAAATAGCAGTATCCAAAACCAAGAAAGAGCCTCAAACATGTAGGTAGAAAAAGAATACCATGAGGGGCAATGAGCACAGAAGAAGTAAGGACAGGAAAGACAAAAGTAAAGTCCGTACCTCATTATCACGGGGAGGGGAAAATTCCAAGTATTGAGCTCACGCTAAGCCAGATGGTGCGCCATCGGACCCATCCAGGAGCCACCAAGGGGACCACACCCGCTTAAATTTTAGGAATAGTGTAGTCAAGCTGTGAGATATTCCGTGTTATGTATATCATGAATCCTTTGTAGCAAATCCAGGTGAGACGGAGGGGTAGGTTGCTGCCATTTCAAGGCTATGAGACACCTAGCCGCAGTGAGGACATGGTTAATAATCTTGATATTACTCTTGGAAAAATGTGGGATGGGGAGACCCAGAAGCAGATGCACAGGGTCTTCCGTACGGTCATATCTACTAAACTGTTAAGCAAGGATAGTATATGCTCCCAGAAGAGATGTATCCTGGGACATTCCCAAAAGATATGCAGTAGACTGCCCCTATATTTCATACAGCACCAGCACACAGATGGCAACAAAGGATTCATATGGTGTAGAAGGTACGGGGTGTGATACCAGTGATGAAGGATCTTGTACTGATTTTCCTGATATAGAGTGCAAATAAATGTCTTGTTAGCGTTAGCTCAGATCACCTTTCAATCCTCCATGTCCAATGCCCAACCTAAAGCCTTCTCCCATTTTAAGCATGTAGTTATGTTTAGGAAAGGGGTCAGCAGGAATTGAGCTGAGCAATTTTAATTTGTACCGTACATGTCTGAAATCGGATATGTGCAGGCAGGACCATCTAAACAAAGTCTCTCAAATGGGGTTAATAGAAAATGAGGAAGGTGGGGCACGTATATGCAAAATGTTTGATCTGAAGGAATGTAAAAAGAGATCTGGAAGGAAGGTTGAACCCAGTGTGCAGGGTAGGAAAAGGCAACAGGGTCCTATCAACTGTATGTATAATATCCCTGAAGCAAAAGAGGGAATGGTAAAACCAGGGGTGAGCAGTGCGATGATTGAGCATGGAATGCAGGAGGGGTGTGTATAGGAATGATCTCATAGACGTAGTGGGAGAAGTTAGACTAAGTTTAGCCCCCCAAAACGGCTTTGTGTGTTACATGGAAGATTAAAGGGGAGGGACCTGTGAGGACAGAGGAGGGAGTTTAGATGTCATGGGGAGATCCAGAGATTTTCTATTTCCGCCCAACTGGCCCAAGGGCTCTTTAATATCTAATGTCATGTTTCCAGCTAAAGAGAGGCCATTTCTGCAGAACCCGTTCTGCATAAATGAAAGGAGCTTCCCTAACCGTCAGGTGCTACCGTGTTTCCCCGAAAATAAGACAGTGTCTTATTTATTTTTTTTCACGAAAAAAGACACTAGGTCTTATTTTCGGGGGATGTCTTACCTGGCTGCTGCTGCCCGCTCTGCCGTCCAGGGAGCCACAAACAGAAACACAGGTGGGCGGGCATGCGTGCGGGGGGGGCGTGTCTGGCAGGGGGAACATGTAAAATCTAGTTACATGTGCAGCTACCCCGAAGGTAAGACCTAGCGCTATCTTCAGGGATGTCTGTAATATAAGACCTACCCCGAACTAGGTCTTATTTTCGGGGAAACACGGTAGTTAAAGCCCATTGCACAGTGTAAAAGACACCAAAGAACACATTCATTTAGCATTCACCTTGCTGATACAGTTTTGCTGACATGAAATTATCTAAGATGTCTTGATTTCAGAAAAGCAAAATCCTCTGCTTTTGATTAATATAAAAGAACAGCAGACCTTTTCTCAGGGTTCTGACATCACATGATTTATAAAACATCATACACTTGCTTTAACCAGTTTAGTTGCGCTAGGATAGATAGTGTTAAGTCACCAGCTGCAACAATGTATACAAACGTGATCAATGTAAGCCAATATGTTGCGCTTGGTATTAAATATTCCATCTATTGTTCGTGTCCTCCTGTATATCGTAAAGGTTTTTTATCCTTAGTGGAGACAATAATTTATTTATAGATTAAAAATTTAAAGATACTCGTGTCGTGATTCTTATTACTTAAAATTAGTGAAAAATAAATAAAAGACAATAAAACTTAAACTGTCTTTTGTTAAGTGAATCTTTATATCAATAATCTGTGATTATTTTTATGATGTAGAAATTTCTGAAATAAAAGACAATGAACTTAACCTGTCTTTTATTGAGTGATTAGTTCTATAATTCAGTGATCTTTTTTGATATACAAGTCAAAAAAGGAATTTGTAGCAGTTAAATACACCACATAAATCGATAATGTGCCAATGATTGATCAACTATTCGAAAACAGAGTTCTGAAAGTGATAACAACCAATAGTGGGTAAAACACTTTCTATAAATTCCAGATTGAACATTTCCTTATATTGCATTCTATCATTATGGTAAGACCACTATATACCGGCCTCAGTCACCAGTTAACAATGTCCTTATATTCACTGAAGCACATTTGAGGGACAGAAGCAGCTTGCTACAACCAGTATACAAACCTTGCCACACTATGCAAACCTTGCAACAACCTACACACGAAGCTTGCTACGGAGAAGTCTTGTGACATCTGCAGCGGATCTCCACCTCAGCAGCTGTTTTCCACGCCCCGAGCACGTTGTACAGCCCGGCGTTGCCCCTAATTACACCTGGAGGGTGTTCGGCGCCGCCATCGAGGATGAGTGCCGGTTGATCGGAGGAGAGCGATGACAATAGAGGTTCCACGTACTTAGTGACGGAACAAAAGTAATAGACATTTGATTTACTATTTTCTTCGATTGAAAGGACTTTGCTTATCCTCATTTTCATTCTATATAAGGACATTGTTAACTGGTGACTGAGGCTGGTAAATAGTGGTCTTACCATAATGATTGAAAATGTCCTAATATTGCATTCTATCTGGAATTTATAGAAAGTGTTTTACCCACTATTGGTTATTATCACTTTCAGAACTCTGTTTTCGAATAATTGATCAATCATTGGCACATTATCGATTTATGTGGTGTATTTAACTGCTACAAATTCCTTTTTTGACTTATATATGCACTCATAGTACGATCACAGCTACATTGAATTTTTTACTATTACACAATAATTTTGGCGGAGGAGGGAGGCGCACTAGACCTCACCACACGGTTTCAGGAACTTTTTACATCATAAATACAATCACTGAATATTGATAGAACTAATCACTCAATAAAAGACAGGTTAAGTTCATTGTCTTTTATTTCAGAAATTTCTACATCATAAAAATAATCACAGATTATTGATATAAAGATTCACTTAACAAAAGACAGTTTAAGTTTTATTGTCTTTTATTTAATTTATTTTTCACTCATTTTACGTAATAAGAATCACGACACGAGTATCTTAAAATTTTTCATCCATAAATAAATTATTATCTCCACTAAGGATAAAAAACATTTACGATATACAGGAGGACACGAACAATAGGTGGAATATTTAATACCAAGCGCAACATATTGGCTCACATTGATCATACACTTGCTGCCTTAGTCCAGCTTGTGATCAAAACTCCAAGCAAGAAGTGATGAAAAAAAAAAGCTTATTCAGTTTTGCAAAGCTGGAATAACTAAAGTGAAAGGTTTG